GTCTACTTCTGCGTGCTGCGCGAGGAGAACGACATCGACGAGAGGCTGGGGCGCCGACGCGCTCCGCGACGTGCCCGGTCTCGAGCGGCAGACGCTCGAGGCGTACGTGCGCCACGAGGAGGCGGCCGGCCGCACCGCCGACGCCGAGCGCCGCCGACTGGAGGAGCTGCTGGTGCTGGAGTCAGCCGAGCGGGAGCGGAAGCAGAAGCGCGCGCCCCCGGGGCCGGCATAGTGCGTGGCGACTAGTGCTGGACAACAGAAGTCAGTGGTGCTATGCAGGGATGGATATGCCGCGACGCGGCCCGGCAATCCAGAGCACTGGTTTCGTCTCTGATGCGCTTGTGAAGGGCGGGCTGAGGAGGAGAAAACTGTGAAATAAGTCTTCTGCGCTTGTTTCGTTTTCACCCCAGACTGGAGTGTGAATGGACGTAGTAATTTATACCGTGCCATCTTTCGTTGGCGTAAGATTGTCAGCAATTGATGTGTTGAAATGTGCAAATATACCGTGTTATCACAGCGGTGGTTACTTCGTCTCGACCGTCACGTGGCATGAGCTGACCGCGGACATTAAGGAGAGGGTGGTCAACAGTCCCAATGCGCGTTCCCGACGAAAAGGGAATGCAACAATTGCGACAGGTTTGGCGGCGGGCGGCTGACGCTTGCGCCCCCTTTCAGGGAGAGTTCCTCCCTGCACGCCGTCTGGGGAACGACTAGCTGCCAGCCGCCCGTCGCTGGCCAATCAGAGCTCCGCTCGATCCAGCCTCGCCTTCCGTCGGCGAGATGCGCCAGTCAGAAAGCTGGCGCTGGCGGACGAGAGAAACGCGAGCCCAGACACCCGTGGGATTTTAAACTTAGTCCGCTGTCAGCCCAGCTGCTCACGTCGATTTCGCTGTTGAGCTTCATGAATCTACTTCTTCCTGTTACGTGAAGAGTCAGACGTGGACACTGCCATCTACCGACCGATCTGGGAACGTGTGCCAGACATTACTCCAGGTGGGCGATTGTATTTTTTTTTGTGCGTGCCTCAAAAGTTTTGAAATTACGGCGATATTGTACGAGCTTGTTTCATGCAGGACTTTTGTATGGTGGCTTGTACCACACAACTGCGTGCTGCATGCACAACTGATGCTGAAATCTCGAGCGTGGTCAAATCAAACAGGACACAGCAGCATTGGTTGTAAATTTAGCCTTTTGTCAAACTGCCACATGGACGTTGCCCGCCTAAACGCCTCGCTACGCGGTCTGGTTGTAGAAGAAGGTTTCTGGTAGACGTAATTGACTTTAAAGGACGCTTGAGCGAATCTGAGCAGATGGGGTTAAATGCAGATGTTTTATGTGATCAGTTTGGAGTCATTGCACCGAATATAATTGACCTTCATTTTACCAGGAGGTTCCGGGTGTAAGAACGTTATCAAAGCAACCATTGGCCATGCTGCTGACTCGAGCGAACAATGTTAAGCAAACAAATATCATTCAAACGCTAAGGCAGAAAAATGCTCCGAATCTGTGCCGGCACTACATTAAAAGTATCTCAAAGTAGTTAATGACGCGAGTCCCATCATCCTAATAACCAATACGCGGTACTTTGCAAAGGGCACCCGACACGCACGCAGCTAAACCGGAAGGTTTCGATGCCCGCTTCGAGCATCAGGGGCGAAAGGGGCTTCTTAACGCGCTCCGTACGGTGACGGGAGTACGTCACCACTGAAAAAATTTCTTTAAGTGCATAACTTTAACAGCATTTCTTAAACCAAGTCACAACGCGTTTGTGTATTAAAACCTCGGACGCAGATTGCGGATGTGCTGCGATTGTAATGCTGTAGACTTGCGTCGTCTGTTAGGCCATTAGATCATAGAGCTGTTTCAGATCACGAACGCTACGCTGTGTTTCTCATTTGAGCTAATGCTAGACAGAGGTTACAAGATATCTTATATGCTTGCGCGTTCTTCCATCTACATTTTCCTTTCACACCACTAACAAACGTGGCAGGTTGCACTCCAACATGCACAACGCTGCGGTGTCCAGGGCTGATCAAGCTGGCGGAACTTTAAAGTGGGACCACTTGTTCGCCCTACCCCGAGGGTGTGTAAGCCTCTGAATTGTACGGTGGCACTCACCCGTTTTTCACAGTTGCCATCGTTGACGGGATTTTGACATCTGTGGACGGCATTTACATAGCTGTTTGTTTTACGCGTCTACGGCGGCTTCTTCGCGAGTCTAATATAGCGTTAAATCGAAACGTGACGTAGATGTCAGTCTGCAGTGCATCCGTTCTCACGGAAAGAAAACACATTTAGTGATTTGAACTCACGAGACTGTGGATCATAAGTTAAACCTCGACCACACCCGCTCTCCGCATTCGTAATGTAAGGACGTCTCTCGTAACAGTCATGAGATGTGTCGAATTGTAATGCGATGGAATCACGGCTTGCCAGGGGCTTCAAGTGTAGCGCAGTTGTTATAGCTTCCATTTGGTTGGGCCACAAGGTGTCGGGGAACACAGCGACACGTTGTGTGTAGTGTTTTCCGTAATGAACAATTCTTGGATGGTGTTCATTGATTTTTGCAAGGAAATCTAGCGGTGAATTCAGCCCATGGGTGCCGGAACCGAGAATATCATCAATGCATCCCATGTAGTATGTACCTCATTGGTCTTGGACCACTTTGGCTAGAAAGATGACTTAAGACTCAAGGCAATGCTCAAGTCTTAAAGCCAGACGTTTAGATTGTAGCTTCAATAGAGCGCATATGCTCAAGGGTATATATATTTTGTAGATGATCCGTCGCGACAGTTACATCCCGATGACTGTTAATGACTAGACATAGTTCCAAATACCGCAATACCTTCTTGATTTGTTGTATAGTGTCGAGACAAGATTGTGTTGATCAGTTCTGCGGCAATGTTACCCTTACGCGATGTCTCGTGGTTCGTACATCTGTAAACAGCAGCTCTTCATGTGATTCCTTTTCCGCCTCAACCCAAGGCCCGACCAGTGTGATGATCCCGCCATTGAACGCACGAGCGATCATTCAACACGGCTTAGAACTAAATCCGAGGCAGACCTCGGACATGTAGTTCTAACCCCACGACCGCCAGTCATGATCACGCTGTCTTTCACACGCCGTTCGTGACCAACCGGGCCTGTGCATGCTTCTGACATATCTGCAGCCGCCGATCTATTCACCGACTCGTTCGAATTCTGACACCATCGAACCAAATCCCGTCCGGCACTAGCTAAACATAACTTGCAGGGACACCGCGCCCCAGCCGAGCATAACCGCGGTCGTGCGTGCCGCAGATGTGGCGGAGCGAATGCTTGAGTCCGACAAACAGTTCGGTATTTTCTACGACGACAAAAAATGGGTGAAGAGTCTGGAGGAGTACAAGAAGCGCTACTACCTGGAGCACCCGGAGGCCCGGCCTCCTCAGGATGCGCCGCCCCGCTCCGGCTAGTAGTGCGGTGTATTGAGTATAGGCGACGCTTCTGTTTATGACAGGGGGAGAGGCAGCTGGTTTGCCACTCTATGTGACGTTCTTAGAAACATGGTCAGAGAAAATGGTGGCCAGATTGGCCGCTGTCTGTCTATTGGCGGCCTGCTTGGCCGGAGTTTGTCTGTGTGTGCGCCTGGACATGTCTATCCCACTGATGCCGATATTGAGTATCCGTGGACGGTGGAATGTCTATTCACTGTGAAAGGAAGCGTCTGAAACATCCTAGTACCGTTTGATGTGTTCGAGCTCGAGGACGGTGGAAGTAATGCCGTCACTGAATGCGTCATAAACGAAGTCACGGGTGAATCCATATCGCCCACGTGAGTGAGACTGCTAGACGGTCGCGTGTGCAGAGATCAGGGGTTTTGCGGTGTTCAGTGTTTATGTGCCCGGTGTCGCCCAGACGGTAACGAGGGCAGAAGTTGGCGATTGGCGAGGTTGATATGAAAGTGAACCAGCTTTGTGTGCCAACATTTCGAAACATCGCCAGTCCGAAAGTGCAAAGGTCAATTAGGTTACAGCAGGCAGCCCATGACGAAACCGATCCACAAAAAATAATTAATTTCGGATGTAGCGCAGGTTTTCAAACAGACACGCAAAAAGGCCACTTTCCGTGACGGCTTCGTCCATATGCTAAGGACAGTACGGCTTTCAGCATTGGGCAGTGCCGTCCAAAACGTACTGCATGCATATCGATTTGTGGTTGCACACTGATAGCTTTTCAACAGCTCAGGAACTGACAATTTGCGCCACATGAGGTCTACGTAAGCGCTGCCACCGGATAACGATGCACGAGTAATAGCGGGCGTGGATGTAGTATTGATAGTGATTCATTGGCGTACGTCAGTGCTGCTGTCACTGGTAAGACAGTAGTGATAGCCTGCTTCCTCGGAGAAAAAAGAACAGGAGAATGGGAATATAGGTGCATTGATATTTCGGAAACATGTCCTTATTGAAACGCGTAGCAGAAGCACATATCGCTTTGCTATTCGTTTCGATGAAGGCCGAAATATCGACGCATCTAAACCTCCATTCTCCTCGGTTTTCTCCAAGGAATAAGGCCATTACTACTGCTTTATCTATGTGTATGATGTTCCTGGCGAATGCACCCAACAGCTGCTGTCATTGATGCGAACAAGCGGCGTCGGAAAGGCTGGTATAAAGTCCCCGGCAGTAACTTAGAAACACGTGTTGTGTGTGTTGCCGGGGGATGTATGGGTTCGTGGGGTCGCGGTGTGGCCCTTCGTCGTGGCTCAGAAATACATGCTGCGTGTAATGGTGACGCGTTTGGTCGGGTGTGTACGCCTGGACAGGATCGCAGGAGGCTGCAGCTGGAATGAATGGAAAATGTGTGTTGTGCAGACCGACTTCGTATATTCACCATGCAATGCGCCCACGGAAACCAGCCATCTTGCCACTCCACCAGTCGCACGTAGTTATCACGCGCATTTTCAGCCGTCGCTCGCGCGCAGTAGAGAGCGTGAGCGAAGCAAAATACGACGAGCCATGTTCCAGGTCGCTATATGGATCTTCTGCTCTGTGAATTTGAAGCAATGCATCGGCTCTTGACACATTTCAGCGCCGCGGCCACTTCACAGCTCGTCTCTCGGGTGTCTGTGTTGGCGTCCGCCGTTGTCGCCGGCTGGCCAGCGACTGGTGCGTCCTGCTCTGCCCCGTGCGCTGCCCGCTCAGAGGCGTCTCCAGGGGCTGATCTGGGCGGGGCGTCCGTC